GTTGGAGAAAGGTGTGTTTGCATCTGAAGTTAGTCAGACAAAAGAGGATAACGTTTGTTTAGGTGAGATGATGAATGGCAATGAGGCAGAGACTCATTGAACTGGAATATAATAAAACATGGAAGAGAGGCTGCATACCCCTTGTAGCCAGAACAGCAGACTCCTTGCTGGACCTCCCAAAGTTTGCTCAGATCAGTTGCTGAAGATACAGTTTTCATATATTAAAAGTTAGTGAAATTAGGATAAGTCAGGCACAGAGACTGGCTGGGTCTGCTTGGGGAGCTGATTTTATGTCAGCGATGGGCTCTCAAGAAGACAAATGCAAATTCATACACTCATGAAACCCCACGAGCAGAGGGAAGATGGTGTTTTGGAGGACAGTGACTCATCTGGAAGTTGACATGCAGAAAGATAGAGAGTGAACAGAGTCATCATCCAGCAGCATCAATCTTGCCTTCTGCCAAAACCTGAAATGCCAGGAATGATGTCTCCCATATTCCAGGCTGGGATTTCCCAGGCAGAAATGCCTACACTAGGCAGGAGATCAAAAACCTCCAGAGCACATCAACATTTTTTTTACATGCATGAGAGAGGTGACTAATCCTTGCACTGGAGATTCATGATGTACATAATGTTGTCTTGGGGCTTCTAGAGGGTACTGGAGGTCATAGTGGCTCTTCTCGGCACTGGCCAGGCTGGTTCTCAAGTCTAAGTCCTGGCCTAGCACCCAGAAAGTTATTGAGGAGCCCAAAGAATGAACTATGGTGCAGAAAACAAGACTGCTATGGAGCCACTAAACAAGTTCCACTTGACTGTATAGCCAGGAGGAATTTATAAGGGGAATTGGTCATAGACTACGGGAAAATTTTTTTTCCTAGGGGAAAATGCTTGCAGTAGCTGGGCTTTCTCACCTAAAGACAGCCAATGATTGAGGGCTGACAACAGACATGGTGTTTAAATGCAAATCCTGGGATTTGGATTGGAGTAATTTCCCCATGAATTAACTAACTGCTGGACAGTTTGTCTCAGTGTGAGATGCTTGGTGTAGTTCAGTGCTTGGCTGTCTTCCCCTGTGTGCCTGTAACTCAAACAGCCCACTTTGATGCAGAAATACTGTCTGCGGACTTTCTGACTGTACCTTATCTCCAAGGACACTTTGTTCCCCTCCTCATCCTCCTGCAGGAGTGGCTGCGAGTGTGGGCCATGGCCTCTGGATCCAGCAGTAGCTGCTGTAAGCAGTATCAACTACAGGCTGGGAAGCTTTATCCTGGGGTGAAAGTGCTTTTTTCTGTACATAAGTGGCTGCTTCTATGCTGGAGGCGGCCATTTCATGTGGGCTTTCCAAACTGCTCAGGCCAAAGAGTTTTCATCTGGCTGTTAAAGCAGAGACTCCTGTCCGTTCCCCCTCATAACATCTCCCTCCCACCGTATCCTGACCCGTCATGGCACCGTGGGCCCCCAGTGGCTCTGCAACCCCACACTGAGCATGAGCCATCCCAGAACAAGCCATTGTGGAGCAGGGACCACTGTGAGTGACAGCTGTGGGTCTCATTCTGTGTCCGAGGCTTCAGCCTCAACCCAGCAAGGTGGTGCCCTCTGTGGGGTCTCTCCAGGTGTCTGCACTCACGGGCACCGATCCACGTGCACACACATGCCCCCCCACAAAGGTGTACACTTGCCTTGGACCCTCTTCTGACAGAGACTCTCCTATCCCCTCTTCCCTTTCCATCTTCCCAGATTTACAAACCTGTTAGCAGCCCTTCTGCCTCAGAGCTCTGAAGGAGCTCTTTGTAATGCACCCTTTTTCTCATGATTATTTTTAATTATTTTATTCCTACATGTCATCTAGACACCCAGGGTGAGACTAACAAATCTCCTCCCTCCCAGCCCCCAGAATAGCCATGAAGAGCCATCTCCCCACCAGTTCTGGTGTCCCTGATGTGTGCCAGTGTTTTCACACCTCTCTGTGCAAGGTTCTCATAGAGCTTTCTCCTAATTCTGGTTCTGTCAGAGTGACTTGTACAGAAAGTGAGTCCCAGCTGTGGGAGGACATGAAAGCAAAATCATTCTCAGTGCATGAGAACTTTTGAGATGTTTTCATGGAAAAAATTAAGGAGAAGTCTGAGCAGCACCCGAGCGTGTCCTTGTGTACCACACTAAGTAGCATGAGCAGGGCATGGTTGGAAAACTACGTGTAATAGGGATGCAGCATTTCAAACTTAAGCTGCACTTAAGTCACTTCTTAAATTATCACATGAAGTCAATAAACGCTGTGGGGTTGTAGGGTAAGGGGTCCTGGCTTCTCCACTCAGTGTGAAGTGGGAGCAGAGCAGCGAGCCTTGGAGTAGCCTTGGAGCTTGGGTTTATCAGTGGATCCCATGGGAGTACATGACCATGAACAATCTCAAGACCACAACCTCTCTTTTTCTGGGTGTTTGCCTCTTTCATCAGCCTAGCTGGGGTGTTTTCATGGTCTGTATACTGTAGCTGGTTAACTTTTGTGCCTGTTGTGTGGTCTGCATTGTTTAGTTCTGGTGCTTGCAGTTCCCCACTACCTGGAAGGCTCCCGGATGTGTGTATTCATTTGTCTGGGGCTTGAGGTGTGGCTCCCCTGCCTGGTGTTGGTGTGAAAGGAAGAGAGACTTGCCCGAGGTGGCTCCCGCTTGCCCAGAGAACTCATGTAACATGTGGCACACGGCATCTACAAGTTCATGTGCACATCCAGGCAGTTAAATCATGTCCAAAGTTGATATAGTTTAGGAGTTTTCTTAATTTAAAAAGAAAAAAAAAGTTATGACATATGCAAGGCATCTAACACACATCTACCAGCAATCCAGGAGAAATCTGAGTACTTGTCACTGTTAGGAGTGTCTCATCAATGATACGGTCAAGCACACCACCCTGCTCAAGGGATGAGGGAAGGTTTCTCCCTGAATCCAGCTGTTGATCCAGTCATTCCCAAAAGAAGAATGATTGATAACCTAGTTATTTGGAGCCCCACTAGTGGATATATTCTTAGAAACTAGAACCTCATTTTCTCATGCTGGAAAATGTCACTTCCTAGGATTGGATTTTGTAACTTGCCTTTAGACCTGAACACTACAATTGATGAATATTGATCATGCCTTTTTTTTTCTTTTTTTTTTTTTTTTTGTTAAAGCACCCTAACTTGATAATTGGTTGATTACAAATACCTCAGAACTGATCAAAGAGAGGAGCAGGAGAGACTTTTTTGATGGCGTAAGGTGAATCCTGTCTCTCAGATGAGGGAACCCTGAGGGATTTTAACAGTCCCATACCTGGATTTGTCCGACTGCCTACTGCCCTTGTCTGTGGTCATGAGATCCGTTTCATGTATCTCTCCAGCACAGTAACCTTCATTCACACTTGCATTTGTTGGATAACTCCTGAGTATAGCTGCAGGGTGGCTCATTACATGGTTCATTACCGTTACTATCCCTGGCAAACAACCCCGTGTGCTGTGCTGTGGGGTATCCCTTCTGGAAGAATATACAGCCGTGTTCTGCTGAGCTGCTCCAGGACATTATTTCATCTAGTGGCTGTGCTTTGGTGTTTGGATGTATGGCTATACTTTGTAAAGATAATTTTAGTTTGGAATGTTGGTGATTTGTGCATCCTCTGGAACAAGCTTTCCAAGAGGCACAGAGGTCTAGGGAGAGGTTTTCTCCAGGGAATTACGAAGCCATCATCTGTTTTGGAACATGCATCTGGGACAGACACCAAACACTTCTTCCTCAGCCTACAGGTCCAGTGAGGGGCTACTCTCTCCACATGCTGCTGAGGGAGCCCTCAGTCCCCCGTGAGCTGTCAGAAGGGAGGATGGTGCCTGCACATGGGGCTGTGGGCACTGTGAGGCACAGCGCTGACGGCAGGCATCACACATCCCTGTGAATCAATCAGGCGGGTGGGTGAGCACCCTGGGTCAAATGGATGGCCAAGAGGTGGGCAATCCCAGTGCAAAGGTGTATGCCAACTCCAGGGGAATGATCCTGGTAGCTGGCCGCTGGCAGCTTCTGCCAGCGGCCCAGCTGGCCACTTGTGCTCCAGCTGGGCATCTTGAACCAGAGAGCACCCACCACCTCTCACCTGTATGCCCACAGAAACCCCTGTTGCATTACAGCCATCAAATGGCCAAGAGGCAGTGTCTTCCCCACAGCACTGTGTCTGCAAGTAAGGGGGCCCTTAAAGCAGGAAAAGTGTTGTGTCCCTATGCCTCTCCACCCCACGCTGCATCCCCAGCTGTCTCGCTGAGCCAGGTGCCTGTGTTAGCCTGTAGGCAAAACTGTTGCCTTCGCATGGAAGAGCTGTCGGGAGGGAGATGCGTCAGCCTGGCCAAAGAAGGTCCCAGTGATGGCGAGCGGGTGTGTGGTCCAGCTCACTGTGCTGGGGGTGGCTCTGGAGCAAGTTTGGCAGGCAGGCACATGGGCAGTGCTGCTGCTGATGGCCAGCAAGGCTCTTCAGCCCTGGGGTGGGCAGAATGGGATGGGATGGGATGGGGTGGAATAGGGTGGGATGCAATACAAGGCGATGCAGTGGGATGTGCTGCAATGGGATGTGATGCGATGGGGCTGCAGCAGGTGGGAGTGCCCAGAAGCACAGAGCCAGCCAACCTGCAGCACTTGGGGTCTGCACTGGGGTGGATCCTCGAAGCATTTCCAGTGCTGTACGCCTGTGTATGGAAGTGCAGCACTTGTTAAATACAGTATTTGGCAGGATTTCTACCCAAAACTTCACGCCAGTCCCAGCTTGCAGGGTGACGATTTGGTGGCAGAGAGCAAACCTGTGCCCCTGTGCTTTGCAGGCACATGTGGGGCGACGAGCCCCACAACCCCTGGGGATATTGTTGGCAGCTCCTGCGCAGCCTGAGCGGAGCCTCCCAGCCGAGCAGCAGGTCTGCCCCTGCCGTGTGCTTCTCCGGGGGCTTCGCCAGCAAGGGCTTTATTCCATCCTTTCACTGGGTCCATTCACCATCCCCGCCTGCCTCCTCCCCCTCTCCCTGTCCCCTCCCACCCCGCTTGCCGGATCCCCAGCAGTCTCTTGACACCTCGGGGGAAGGCTGGGAGGTGTAACCATCGCCAGCAAGAGAGAGGGAGAGCGAGAGGGAAGGGAGAAGGAAGCCAATAACGTGGAGGTCTAGGAAGGTGGTGGAGTGGGAGGGACGGGGCCACTCCTCCGTCGGTGGGACTGCAGATTATTTTGCATGGATTGTTGAAGAGAAAAGGGAGCTGCATTTGTGAAGGAACCAAAAAATAAACGGCTCGTTGCTCAGGTAAGTGCAAATGTGAGCTCCCCTGCTCTCACTGTCATGTGGTACATTGATCCTCTGTCCTATTTTGCTTAGTTATATCGGGTTTGATTCTTACTAAGATTATTTGATGCATCAGCTGTATGCTTCGGTTGCTGAAGACTGAACCTCCTGATACGTGTGTGTGTGCATGCGTGTGCATGTGGAAAGATGCCCATTCTCTGAATATACATTGACACAATTTTCCAGCGCTGTGTGGTGTCTCGTTTGAGATGTTATACTACAGCACGCTGTACACACACAGACACACACACACACACACACAAATGGTGTTTGCTGTTAGTGATTTTAAAATCTGTTCATCCATGCGATTATCGAAATAGCAAGACTGTTCAGCAGCTGAAAATTAAAGAGGGGCTCTTAAATCACAGTCTTCATTGGTAGGGGGCTACTTTTCTTTATCCTGAGCCTGACATGTTCAGTATTATGTTTTATAACAAAGCTACATTTAAAGATCAATTCAGCAGCGGTTATTGCATCCAAATTACATGGTTGTCATGGAGATGGTACAGAGAAGCTGAAGTGATATGACTGCATCTGGACTGGAGTGGGGCTTCACTGCTGAGTGAGATCCTGCCTTGCCTCCTGTGTCTTTTTGTCTGTGCTAGGTTACAATTTCTTTTAATCTTGAATGAAGCAGTACTGTATTAGAGGATTTAGAGGTCGAGCTGCTGTGAAGGGTGTGTGTTGCCCCTGGTCGGTGCTGTGTTATTATCGTAATTGTTGTATTAGCATCTGCGTCTCCCTGAATTTCTTTTACAAGTCTGGGGAGGAGGAAGGCATGAGAAGGACAGATAGTTTTCAGAGCACAGCTAGGGCTGGGAGTACTTTCTAAAAAGATGCCTGCCATGCCCACACCTCTCTGCTGGCTCTGAGGGACAAAAGGGAAATGATTTTCTGATTTTAGCCATGTTTATCTTCCATTTTCCTGCCTCAACTTTGAGGATACAAGGAGCCAGTCACCTGCTTATCACTGTATCAGGGCAATGGTGCTTTTTTTTGGTTATTACATTTGTTTCCTTTGCAACTGGTGATATGAATGTGTTGGCAGTTGGGAAAGAAAATCCATCATTTATGAGAATGAAATTTTCCTGCCTAAGGCTAGCTAGAATACAAAGAGTGTATCTGTGGGAAGGGCATGTTATATGTTACAGATGTGTATTTCTCTAGCAGCTGGGAGTAAATCACACTATTGTGCTCATCTTCATTATTTTGGGTGTTAGGCTGGCTTTAGTCAATATTTAATCTGAGCTCATTGTGTGCTCACACAATAAATGTGCGATTTGGAGCCTAACTTTACATCTATAAAATGCTTTGGGAATGCATGTGGCATTGTCTCCATAAATGCAATTTCACCCTTTTCTGTAAGACCAAGCCTATTGTGAGGATGTAAATATAGTAAAAAGCACTGGTGGAAACAAGCCCATCAGAATGGCAGTGTTTCTCTAGTTGTATCATTAAACATAAGAGAGAATTAATTCCTAGGATAAACAGAGCTTTGTAGCTGTTGGATCAGGGTGATATTTACATGGAGTTCCAGGCCTCCGTTTTGGTAGCTAGTATTATGGCTTAAATTCCCCCCATGTCAGTAGATGATGTTTTTAGCCAGGATTGTAGCATATTATCATTAGATATTTTTGTATTAAAAATATGTTAAATCCCCATGTCCTCGTCAAATTGTCCATTGCAACCACTCCAAAGTGTGTGATTCAGTTAGGATTTTCTTTAACGTGATTTTTCCTGTACAAGTCCAAGCAAACAATGGATAAAGTCTGAAAGTGGGCGGCTGAGCCCAGAGGGGAAGTCTGAGAGATGGCTGATTCACAAAATGGATGGTTCTCATTTTGTCTCTTCTTTCCCCCTAAAAGTTAGGTACAAGTGGAGTCGAAGTGGGAGGTTTTCCCTGGAGATCCTCTTGGATCTGTGAGGCTGGGAGCCAAGTAGTTCTGAATTAATACTGAGTTTCCTCCTGTTTAAGTGTGTTATCACTCTTCAGTCCACCCTAAACATAGCTGTATTATTCTCTGGGGAAACTGAGGCTTGGCATGGTCAAGTGACTTTACCAATGTGACAGTGGCAGCATCGGGCAGAGGATGCAGGAGCTCTGCCAGCAGGCCTCTCCTTCTCACCACCAGGCCCATTCAGTATTCATATGGTGTGGTCCTGTTTGTAGGTGCAGTGGGAGGGTGGTGGTGATGGGAAGCAGTACTGGTTCATGGAGGCTGGGTGGATGGAGTAAGGGTACTCTTTGCTGAAGCCACTCATCGGAGCAAGAGGGAGTTGAGCAGTTTTACACCAGCTTCTATGGTGTACAGGGTGAGGACTCTTTTCTGACCCCACCTACAGGGTAACTGAAATGAAGCCCCCTTTGGTTTCCTCATTGTGCGACCCAGCACATGGCTCTTCATGGAGTTGAAGACTTGGCTCCTGGCAGGAGGTATCCATCATATTTCTTTTCATAGTTGCATCCATCTCTGAGTGTGAAGCCTTTACAGGTGTCTTGGCTTTCCACTCTCCCCACTGGTGCTGCTCACAGCTCATCTTCCATCCTGTAATACCCTGTATTGCTCTTCTTGACTTCAACCTATAGCTCCATTCCTTCTCTTCCCTCCATCCCATCATCTGACACCTTTTTGTCCCCTTCCTCCATGGGTTTTCTCATTGGTGAAGATCCCTCCACCCAGTGTTGCCGCAAGCTTCAGCCCGTGCCATGATCTGTATGTGCTGTGCCCACCACGAGGCACACAGTGCTGAGTATGTCAGGCTACCACGTTAAGGGGACTGAAGTGAAGTCTCCTTTGAAGTCTGGAGTGCCTTCTCCATCTGTGGAATTGCCCTATGTGGTGTCAGTGGTTCTGCCCAAAGCTGGCATTGGTGTTTGTTCCTAGAAGAAAATGGAAAGGCCTGTTCATCTCAAACACCTGTGTATGGCCCTGCTGACTTGCTGACTTGCACAGTTTGATGGCGTTGCCAGAAGGATGCTCTCTGGGCTGGGAGGGAGCTGTTGCTACTGCCACCAAAGTGCTGGCTATGGGCAGAGAGATTCCTGAAGAGGGAAAAGCCTGCTTGGAGGTTGTATACCAGCAGTCACTGGAGTGGGTGATCTGCTGCTGTAAATGGCCACATCTCTTGAGGTTGCTGCTTGCTCTGCTAATTGATAAAGTCTCTGCCATGGAGATATCTCCTTGACAGATTTGCCGAGGGTGAAAATGTCCTCCTCACTCTTTCAGAGGGAAATGGCTTTCCCAGGAATGTGCTGGGACAGAGTCCATGTGAGGATCAGTGCATGCAGGCTCTCAGTGGTCAGATGGGTCAAAGAAATGGTGCCTTCTGCACATGAGGCTCTTGATGCTTCTCTGTGATGGTTATGGTACAGAAATCATAGGTGAGAGGGTCCGGGTCAGTCCTGGCTCCCTTCCTCATTTCCTCTGTGGCTCCAGGGAGGTGGCTGGAAGGCTGGGCTCACTGGTGGAGAGGTACTTGTCCAACCTGGACAGTAGCCACCTGACTCTTCATCCTCACTGCTGTCCCTTTGTCCTCCTTCAGGAGCTCCAGGAGATGAGTGGCTGAGATGCTCAGGGAGGTCCTTCCCTGCAGTCCATAACATGGCTGACCCTGCTGACCATGGGCAGCACCTAGTTCTGGTCAAGTCCCAGGTAGGGACACTAGTGATTCCTTCATTAGAGCAAATGCTGCTCCTGTCACTGGAGCAGCTCCAGTGCTCCCTCACTTGCACCAGTCAGGGCCAGAGAACCATAAGGAGCTGCAGCCTGAGCAGAGACAGTGCAGCTGAGCTCGAGCCCCTACTTGTGCTCTCCATGCTTTTTCTGGGCCCTGGGTTTCAGCCTGGCACTGGGCACATGGTTTGTTACCTATCTTCACCACCACTGCTTACATGTCCTCCACTTTTTTCTCTTTCTCCTTCTCATCACCCCACACCCTTCCCTCATGGTTTTTCATTTCTGTGGTACATGAGCCAGTCTTAAAGGGCCTGGCTGGTGGCTGTGGAGGAGGCAGAATTGGCAGGTGCCTTAGGCTGTCTGCTATAGGTTGTCTGAAGGAACAGTGTGTCCCCATGGCCTAGGCAGGAGTCATGTTTGCACTGGGACCCAGAAGAGGTCACACCTGAAGGCAGCCTCCCAGTGCCACTTTTAAGGTGTCCCATGCAATCTGGTCAGGGTGTCCCCTTTGTGGTACCACCAGCTCAGGAAGGCCTTGCTCCATCTCATCCTAGGTCCTCTTCTTCTCTGAGGCATCCTGAATGGCTCCCAGCAAAGGTAACATTGGTGGGATGCCCCGTTGTTGCCAGCTGTCTTGAGATGCCTCATCAGGGCTCAGGGAAGGGGCAATGTTTCCTTTCAAGCAGGATGGGCATGGGATTCATCCCAGGATTTTCTGCCTTCCTCTGCATCATGGGACGTGGTTTGGTTCCTAGGATCATCTCCTAAAGGCCCCACTGTGGCAAAGTGCTAGACCACTGGTTCTCTGTATCTTCTGCTCTCCAGCTGAGACACCTTAGCACTGTGGAGCTCCTCGGTCTCCTGGAGTTTGTGTGTGTAGTGAGTGTGGCAGGAAGAGTGCTGGGGACAAGACCACTCTGTGATCTTCTGGATGAAGTGTTTTATGGACTGTGGGGCTCACAGCTGGATTTGGTGGCTTGTGCGGTCACGTCCCATTCTGTATCTCCCTTCCAGGCAATGCAGCTGAGCTCCTCATCTCTCTGTGGCCTTCCTGTGGCTCTGCCATGGAGAACCAGCAGCCCCCCTCAAAAGACAAAACCTGCAGGTCTGCCTTAGGAGAGTAGATCCCTGTGCTGCCCCCTTTTTGGGAGGTGGAGCATGTGCCTCTGAGCTCTCCAGATCAGCATCGAGCAGGAAAACTTATATCAGACCCAGGTGACTGATACGCTTACAGTTCACCAACTGTACTGAAAAAAACAGAGAAAATTATGTGAGCTCAGCTACCTCTCTAGCTTCTCCTCCTCTGTGTGACAGTTGTTTCTCTATTATTTTCTTGGTATGTGAAAACAAATCTGACCCAAATACTTTTTTATTTTAAATCCTTAAAAAAATGTAATATTGTAAGGAAATGCTGTAATACCAACCCAAATTGAAGGGTTTCAAATTTTGGTTTCAATTTTTCTTTTCTGTATTTGCTTACATGCTCCAAAGTCAAAGCATAAAGCTCAGTTCTTGCGACATTTTTTTTCTCACTTTGATTTTTTTTTTTTTTAAATCCAGCTCTTCAGTGGTTTCAGCACAAACACATCACAAGTCTTGGTAAGATTTAGGTGACCTATAATTTCAATTTTTGGCCTGTGAACAATTTTTCAAAACAAGTTCACGTGGTTCTGGGAAAGAGCCTCATGAGGTGGAGAGGAAGTTCCCTGTGGTACCTTCTCACTCCTTCCAGCACCTGATCTGGAGCTGGATGGTCTGAGACCAGCTTGGAGAAACATCTACATGCTGCTCTACACAAAACAGGACCTGCTGACTGTAACATCCTGCACAGTAAGCCACAGTCCCGCTTGCAGAGGTATCTGCCCACTCTGTTCATGGCCACTTGATGTTGGCTGGTGTTGGACACATACAGAAGGAGAGGACGGCTTGTTCTTCAGTCCACCCACAGCCTCTCCCTGTTGCATGTCCTGAAACAGTGTTGTTTCCCACCGCATGTCCTGGCAGATGGATTTTGCAGACTTGGATGCGATCTGCACCGCTCCCTACTCAGAGCTTACCTTAGGTGAGGCTCTGCTCCTGCCAGGCTCTGCATGTTTGCTTCTCAAAAGGGCACTGGTTACCCAGAGAGTGGAAGTGGATCAAGGCGAACTAGGACCCTGGTATTTCAGGCACTTTCTAGGAATAAAAGCAGCCAGGCTATGGACACAGCCTACTCAAGCAGGACACAGGCATGGGGGGAACAGAGGTGATTTCTGGCCAGAAGGGGTTACATGTTGCAGGGGGATTCTGCTAAATTAAAAATATGTATTTGTCTTTGCTGGTACAACAGAAGCTAGGGGAGCAGGCAAGAGAAAAGCGAGAAAGCTTTATTTAATTAGATTATGAGGCCCCAAAGGCTTCAGACTCATAGAAAAAAAGAAATATTTTTGTAATTGAGGATGAGGTTTCTTCCAAATGCAGCTTTAATGAGTATTTAGGTTTTATCTCATAAGTTAGAAACACCAGACAAAGGCAGCTATTTGAGCCACCCCTCAACAGAGTCTTGAGCTTGCTGAAGCAGGATCTGGATGCCTGCATCTGGGAGTGTTAACCTGCCTTTTGAGAAAAGGGCATCCTGTGTCCTTTCAAGGCTGTTTATCCAGGTCTCTTGGTATTCTCTCACCGTTAAAGCTCTCTTTCTTCCCCAGGTCCCAGGAGGCAGCTGTCTACATTGCATAGGTGTGGAAACTGAGGCAGCAAATAATCACAGGGTTGGTTTTACTCCCAGAAGTAGAGAGAAGTAATTTGCTGCAGCAGCTGAGGCAATTTCCTTTGATGGGTCCTTCCTAGGGGCTGGTGGGATGTGTGCATGGTACAGCTGGCCCATGGCCTCACTGTGGCCTGACGGTGGCCTTTGTTGGGTGGCCACACGGAGGGACTGGCTGGCTCTGCGCTGCCCTGACCCCTGCCTAGTGCTGCTGGCTGTCCTTGCCCTGAGCACTGAGCCAGTGACAGACATGGCAGAAGAAACAGGGTGTTCCTGACCCACATCTGGCCTGTTTCCCTGAACTGGGATGGGTGTGGGAGCTCCTGGGCTGAGAGACTCTCAGCCACCCCCTGTCTGGACTTTGAAGTGCTGGACTGGGCTGGGGTGTACTGGGCTGAGCTGGGATGGCGTGTGTTGAGGGTCCCAAGCCTGAAGGCTTGACTGCTGGTCTGCAGTGTCCTTTGCTCTCAGGCCCAGCCCTGAGCCCCTGCCAAGGAGTGTGCTGGTAGAGCTGGGGGTGGTGGGGCTCAGGTCACCTGAAGAGCCACTGCTACCAAGAAACTCTTTCTGCAGCTGCCCATGCCATGCCCTGCCGCTCTGCTCCTTCCCGCCCAGAGAAATGAAGCCTCCTCTCTCCCAGACCTGCTGCCACTACTTGTCATTAAACCCGCAGCCTTGTCAGCCTCCCTGTACCCCCCAGCCAGGCAGGAGCTGGGGCACATGGCTGCTCTCATCTGGGATGTCTTGAGCCCAGACAGTGCAGGAGAGGAAGGCACGCAACCTGTCTTTCAAAACAAAAAAACATCCCACCTGCCTGTCAGTCCAGCCCTCGTTTTTAGGCTCCATTTAATTTGAAGTTGTTTTGAATGGATTAAGGCAGGTAATGAGCAGTTTAAAGACACAGCTCATCCTGTGTTACAGGCAGTATTTCTGAGGTGCTCAGAAGTGCCTATCTGCAAGGTATTGAAAGCCTCTGCTAATAATTTATTAGCCCTTTATTAACTATTTACAAATGTGCTTTATTATAAAGTGTGACCTTTTAATTTGCACCCCTCCTCCTCCCCTCCACTGGGGGGTCCTTGCTCTTGGCTGCTCCTCATGGGCAGCTGTGAGACCCCGAGGAGCATCCATGCCCACTGCAGCCATGGAGCCCATCATGTACCACTTTTGCCTGGGGCAGTGCCTGCTCCTGCAGGTGCTTTCCAGTGTCCATGACGTGCACAGCACCCAAGCGCAGTGCAGGGGTGTTTGATGCATGTCCAGCTAGGACTGCCTCTGGCACGGCACCTTGCAGTGTGAGGCATGGGACACTAGGATGGGCATTATCCCTCACCCCCAAATCATAAGATTGTTTTAAAAGAGCAAGATATTTTTATTCCAAACCTTTGGAGCTGCCTCCATTTGCCACTCTGAACTCTGGTGTTCCTCAGGCTTCCTCTGCAGTCTTTTCAATTTTCTGTGCTAGCTGGGTGTTCAGATGTGGCTTCAGGAAATTTGGATTTCCCATGTGCACCCAGTGTGGGAACTGTGATGTCAAGAAGGTGGCTCTGCATTGCCTGGTGGGAGTGTTGGACCAAAGCTGCCTGGGAGCAGAGTAACAACCCTAGGTGAAATGCAGGAGACTTGGATGTGCAGTATCACAGCAAAAGCACAGCATGATAGCAACACCTAAAATGCAGATGTGTTACTATTACTGTCATCAGACCAAGAGAGAAGGAAAGAGGCCATAAAAATTATAGCAGGTCCTGGTAGATCTAGGGAACGACCCTCTAGCAGAAACCTATGCTGTAATGACCTAGATGTTTTTTTATAAACACAAGCAAAATGGTAGGGAATCCACTGCTCTCCAGGTAACAGCAAACCATAAGGAGTACACGTTGGTGACACTGTCCCTTTAATTTTGCATGCTATAAAAATCAGAGATTCCCAGTCTCAGACATAAGATGTCCAGCTTGCACAGTTGTCTCAGGTTGCATGTTCCCACAGCAAGCTTAACTGCCACTCCTCTTGTGCCACTATGTCACTGGGTCATCTGATGAACCAGGCTGAACAGCATTCATCTCCTGAACTTTTATTTCATCTTCACAACACACTTATTTTTGGCAGGCCCCTCTGGCCTCTCTGTGCATCAGTGAAGACTCAGTCCAGGATGTAATTCATCTGTTCCCAAAATCATTGTCTGATGCCTAAATGTAATGATGTCTAAGGAGGAGGAGAAAAGCCCAGAGAA